TTGATGTCGTAAGTGAGACAGAAAACTCCAATAGTCATACTTTGCTTATGGGAAACATTATAGCTGTATGACTGGTAAGGGGTATACCAAAATAATAGTACCAAAACTGCTGATTTTCGAAATGTTTAAAATATGTTGTATATTTAGAAAGGATTAGCTACTGATAAATCTCAATTCAAGTCTATAATTGGATCAGAGTTCAAACTAAAACTCGAAGTTGGAATGGGCGGAACGATGGCCACGCCCACTTTGCGGTTGCAATGTGCCAAAAACTACCATGTTTTGTAATGTTATCCTGCCCATTCCTACCTTGTTTCCTTACTTTTTGGTGCTCCCATTTCTACTTCCTAATTTTTGTATATAAATTTTTTTACACTTTGTTAGTACTAAGTCTCGAGAGTGACTGAGCTCTAGACCTATCCTTCTCGTAGCTTTTCTTAGAGTTATCTCTCGACATTTCCTGGCTTTTGCTGATATTTTTACTATAGGTTTTCTTCCATTTAGTCAGGGTGACAGCCTCTTCTTTGGCTGAATTAATGGTCAAGGCTTGTTTCACATATTTAGCATTACTGTTTCTAGGCTTATCTCTATTCTTGCAGTAGTGCTTTCTTCGCTGGGACAAAGACTTTTCAAGGTTATCAACATAAGATTTTCTCCCTCTCGTTTTCTTTTCTTCAAAGGAATATTTTAAAAATCGCACTGTTTCAAGTAACAACCTTAGGTGTCAATAGGTCACACTTAGTTTGAAAACAATGCAAAGGTGAATTATACAACTTATCATTTTTTTTCAGTATAGAGTGCTTGAACAAAGTTATGGCAGACTTCGGTAGTGGTAGCGTTCGTCCTCAAGTAGGAGACTGACGTCTTTGGCAGCGTCTACTATGATAGAATTGCTTTGTTTAACACAGAATCCTTGAGTCAGATGTATAGATCTGAAAACCTCGTTTTCAAAGGTCAGATCATAGTTAAAATCTAGATCCAGAGAGCTACGTAGTTCACGTTTTATTATCTATCTGATACAGTTGCAGGCTGATCACGTAGCGTGTGCGCATAAGCAATTGTGCACCCGCACGTGATATGTGGGCGGGTTGTTACTCGGCAACTCACAGAGTATGCTCGTAATCATAGAATATAGCTACTAGTGTATTGTTAGCTCATTATTAGTGTTGCAAAATGGTTATTGTTGTTACTTGTTATTACCGAAGTTCATAAGTAAAACGAAGAAAAACGAATTTTGTCAAGGTAACGTAATTCAATCATGGGCATTTAAATTTGCATAAGGTGAAGGCAGGAGAGATCTATGCCTTTCAAACAACGTTAGTCAGTCAAATAGTCAGAGCTTTGGTCTCTTGTTACTCTGCAGTTGGTTTGTTTACTACTCAACAGTGTGTGTAAAGTGCTTATAAAGTTTTGTTTACATACTGTTTGCAGTGTGTGTGTGATATTTTAATTTGTATTGCACATCTGGCCCATTCCTGTTATAAGTACAAGTACTACCGTACTTATAATATCTTAACCAGCCACTTTATGTTTTATCATATAAAATGCTTTTCACATACATCAGTCATTTGAAAGTAACTCCACTGAACTGTGGACTTACAACGTTAAAATCTGGGGCTTTCCCCGCGGTGTTGGGTTAAAACAGTAACGTTCTTCACCTAATGTTTTGTATTTATAATTGTATCTCTCGTCATTTTCTAACATCTAAATTACTTCAGTAACATGATGAAACTTCCACTGCCTGTTGTAGAGACACGAGAGTGGAGGACGACGTCTCCAAAGTCTTTCGCCATTCAGTAACAATTCTTCTTATTTTATAATCAAATAAAATATCTACAGAATCATTCTTTATTTACTTTATCCAAAGAAATGTTGAAATAATCAAATATTTTAGTTTTAAAAGTTCAAAATTTCGTTGTGATAACAAGTTTCGTTTTATTTACATTGATTCATATTTACCTACACGAAGAGGCACTACTCAAAGTTTTCCCTGTAGGAGATAAACTCTTCCATTCCAGATAAGTAGCATTTATTATTTTTAATTAATTTCACCTTAAATACTCATTCGTAAATTATTTGACATTTCAGTTTAAATTAAACTTCATTTTCATTAATAAATCACTGGACGTGTTTTTACGCTTCCAGTTAACGACTTGTTTACTTTCAGGTTGTTACTAGTGGAGTTCACAAATTGCATCATATTCAGCGATGTTGTCATAATGCTTAGTATTAAGAACTGACAACAACAACAAAAAAAGACGAAGAAGAATCCGTATATCAAGCCTTGTTATATTGTAACGATGTGTTCGAAAGTTTGAATTTAAACAATTTAAATAAG